AGATGGCCTCAAGACAGCCCCAGAAGCTTCCAAGACGCTCAGGCCTTGGGTGCTCCAAGATGACCCCCCAAAGGGGCCCAAAAAGAAAATCATTCCGGGAAACCAACAGTTGCAGCATATTCGCCTTTGGGGTTTTCACTACGCCCACGACGGCCTCCGAAGCTTCCTACATCTGCCATTTGCGCTCCACCGCGTCTACAACGGCAGCCGAGGCCTCCGAAATCGGCCCCAAGACAGCCAAAAAGACCCCGCAGAGGACCCCCAAACGGCTCCACACAGCCCCAGGACGGCCTACGAGGGCCCCTATACAGCCCCTCAGGACCAGGAAGGGCCCAAGACAGCCCAGGATGGCCCCAAGACGGCCTCTGAGGGGCCCCAGACAGCCCACGACGGTCCACAGTGCGCCTCTGAGGATCCAGGAGGGACCCCAAACAAGAGCCCAAGAAGCCCCAAGGAGCGTCCGGACTCCGCCGCCGCGCCCCCTGGCACGTTAAACGTGGTAGGACGCCGCGTGCAATCTGGAATGGTTCCTGCAAGTCGCTCCTCCTCCTCCTCCTCCTCCTCCTCCTCCTCCTCCTCCTCTTGCTCCTCCACCTCCTTCTTCTCCTCCTCATCTCCTCCTCTTCCTCCTTCTACTCCTCCTCCTCGTCCTCCTCGTCCTCATCCTCCTCGTCCTTGTCGTCCTTCTCCTTCTCCTCCTCCTCCTCCTCCTCCTCTTGTTCGTTTTCGACGTGCTCTTACTATTACTAGTACTAGTAGTATCGTTGTTATGGTCATTACTAGTACCGGGTCCGCCTGATTGATACAATTCATTCTCGTGTGTGTATTATCCTTCGGAAGTAAAGGTGATGATTACTATGATTATTAAGAGTGACAGGAGTAGCATTGTTATGTTGATAAAGATTGTTCGTCCTCCTATACCTCCCACCCAATGTCTTCGCTATCCCAATCTTTTTTGAACCTGTGAAATTCTCGCCACCACCACAAGATGAGGGAAGATCACGTCCCGCAATCCACCAACCCCTTGAGACCCCTCGGCGTCTCGGAGGCCCCCAAAGAGCCCAAATGTGCGAAATTCCACTGAATCTCCAGAATAACACGGGATTTCGATAGATTCCCTTTTTGTTGTTATCCGCGTGCACGGACGGTAGCCCGAGATGCCCCGAGGCCACTCCGAAGGGTCGGCGGATGTGGCGAAAGCCTCAAGCATCAATCCGAACCAGATGCAAACTTTGAACTACATCGGATCAACGAATGTAGATGGATTGCTACAAAAGTGCCTTCTCGTGAACGCTTCACAGGCAAAGTTCTCTCACCTTACACGTGAGGCCCTTCCTCGGAGGAGGTCTCTACACGCTGTCAAGCGAGCGTTGCGATTCCAACAGATTCCGTAAGACGACTAAGGCCGTGCAAGTCCACAGACTTATAGAGCTCCGTACGCTTCACGCATGCATCTGGAGGAGTGATCACATCTTGGTGGTCGTCAACCCCCAAAAGACCTCCGACTGCAAAACCTGCTTGTCCTAGATGCTTCACGTAGACATTCAAATACAAGAGACCACTGTTCGTATGCCCATGGACGACTTTCAGGTGCACCGCATCGAACGCAACCCATTGTGGAATATCGGTTGCACTTTGCGATACGCTGTAGTGATACCCTCCAACTCGTTTGCCCTCTGCCCAAGAACCTGTAACGTTCACAGCTTGGAAATACAGATCCGCGCAGTTGTCGCCCAACCTGCGCGCATCGGCCTGCACACGAAGCAATGCGCCTTCGGCGTTCGTTCCACGAGGGATGTTTATCAGAACATGATTGCCCGGCTTCATCAGATCGAAACGCTCGCCATTCACATTTTGGAGGTGAGGGTCGCCAATGGCGGCCGCGCCTCCGGCGGCTCCGTCCATGGGCGTCGGGTCGGGCGTCGGGTCGGGCGTTGGGTAGGTCGTCGGGAAGGCCGTCGGGTAGGGCGTCGGGTAGGGCGTGGGATCGAGTGTCGGTGTAAAAATCGTCTTGTCCGCCAGCGCGCTTGCAGCGGTTAGTGTGCGTGTGATGTGTGTGTGTGTGCGTGTTCGTGTATATGTGTGTGTGTGTGTGTCGTGCTCGTTCTTGTTGCGAAGAAATGCTGCTTGCCCCCACGACGCATCGGATACAATATGATGGCCACATCCCTGCGTTTCGTGCCTGCCCAGCAAAGCATGATCCGATCATCAAAATGCGCGGTGGGGCGCTCCAAAACACCCCCGCCCCCTGACGCTCTCCCGGCCCACTCCACCCCCCACTCCCCAAGATGGCCCAAGGCGGCCTCCAGGACGGCCCAAACGGCCTCCAAGTCGGACAGCATGGCCTCAGACGGCCTCCACGACTGTCAAAGATGGCCTCCAAGATGGCCACGGTGGCTCGCAAACGCCTCTAGAGGCCTCAGAGGGGACCCGCAGGAGGGCCCGAACACCCGAAATCATTGACTTCCCTTAGGCTTTGAAAGAATTTAGCGTTAGCGCTTCTTCGAGCTTCCGGACCCCACAGACGGCCCAAGAGGCCTCCAAGATGACCCGACGATGACCCCAAGAGGGCCCCAAGATGGCGCAGCAGGGCCTCAAGACAGCCCAAGAGGCACCCGATACGATGGTGAGCTGTAAATGTAAAGCGGCGAAGAACTGGAAAAACACAAGTTCCTCCTCATTCACGGTGCAAATTTGTGGTGCGTGCTCACGGTGCGTATTCACAGAGTATGTTGACGGTGCGTATTTGCTGTGTGTGCTTCCATCACGTACTTACACTACAAATTTACGACACATATGTACGATGTACGTGTACGGTGCATGTCTACGGTGCGCGTTCACTGTGAATATTTACGATGTGTCTTTACCGTGGCTACTTACGGTACGGAATTGGGGCGTATCTTTACGGTGTGTATTTGCGGTGAAAGCCGACGAGGCGGAGTTACGGTGCACATGTACGGTAAACACGTATGGTGAATGGTGACGTTGCGTACGTACGGGGTGTACCGATCATGTATTTACGGTGAGTGTTTGCAAAGCGCGCGTACACGCTGCATACATACACGCGCTGTACACACACACACGCTATAGACACACATGGCTGGTTACTGACAAACATACACACAGCCACCTTCACGCACGGTGCATATTTACGGAGCCTATGTACGGTGCATGCTGACGGCGCATACTTACGGTGCACAAATATGGTGGATGTTTGCGGTGAGCATTTGTATTGCCTGCTCATGGTGCGTACATGCGGTGCGCACTTCCGGTGTGTACTCGCGGTGCGCATGCAGGGTGCGTATGTACTGTGCTTGTCGACGGTGAACATTTACACGTCCATGTGTATGTACGGCGCGCACTTGCGGTATGTACTGAACACTGTACATATCTACGGTTTCTAGATATATACGACTCCCTCTCGATACATATACAGATACACGAGTATATATACACCTGTACACATATGCATACATCTATACGTATATACGGTCCGTTTCTACTATGCGTATTCGCGGCAACTACCCCAGGTGAGTATTAAACATGCACCTGGGATCTGATTTACAGAGAGAGAGAGAGAACAAAAAAGAAGAGACAGAGCACGCGCGGCATAGTGTGCACTGGGTCCACGGTGTGTTCACGCACGCGCACCCCCAGGAGGCCGCCCGAACGCGGCGGCGGCATCGCGCGCCAGCGCAGCACGATAGCAAAACCAATTGTTACCAACTGCGTAGTCGATGCTCTCTCCAGTCATGAAACCGCCCCCCACTGAGCACGCCGATGTGAACGTGGTGGCAGTGACTAAGGCCAAGTCACTCTTGAGGCCAAGCACACGGCAACCCGTTCCGTCCTTCTTGACCATGTATCCGAAAGAGTGTGGGTAGGCTGCGTCAGCCAATGCCATGCATTGATTGTCCGATGATACGGAGGAACACCCGTACCCTTGAACTTCTGACCCGCCGCTGGTACGGCAAGCTCCATTCAATTGGTCGTACGTAGCCTCCGTCATAACGCGACCTGTCGCCTGTAGCTGGAATGGCGTGTTACCCAACATCTCAGCAGGCTTGCTATGGAAGTCCAAACCACGGCACACTGTGAAGGCCGCCACGAAAAGGCACAGCATACCATGCAAAGCCATGTGTTGTTCAGTATAAGTGGGATTGCAGCGTGGTTCAGCGATGTCTCTTGCTGGCGAACGCTCAGCCAAAATGACGAAGTGCGAGTCCGAGAAGGAAGAGTACGAGTAGGAATAGGAGCAGGTATCGGATAAGTGTTATATCGAACAAATGCTGGCATGTCTGGGAGCCCTCCTTCCTCCTGGTGCTTCCTTGGGCGCGAATTCATGGGGGGGCGACACATGGGGGGGGGGGAGGGGGGGCGAAAGGCGCCCCCTTCGGCACCGACAGGCCCCCTCCTGGACTCGAAAGGGCCCCATTTGGGGGCCCTGAAGGGCCTCCTGTTGGCAGCCCTCGCTGCCCCCCCCATTTATCGCCCAGCAACTGCGCAACCTCCGACTTCCTTCCCCACCAGAGCGCACCAGAGCGCTCCGCCACGCCGCTCCCGAGCCCTCCGAGAAGGCCGCGGCGCGTTCGCGACGTCCTCCAGAGGAGCCGGACCTCCGAGAACCTCAATGTTTGACCCTCACCCGATGTTATAACCTCGTCCTGGCTTCGTCTGAGGTGGTGCTTCCAGGGGGTGGGGCTCTGTGGGGCGAGAGGCGGAGGAGCGGGGCGAGGCACGAGGAGGAGGAGGAGGAGGAGGAGGAGGAGGAGGAGGAGGAGGAGGAGGAGGAGGAGGAGAGGGAGGAGGAGGAGGAGGAGGCGGAGGAGGAGGAGAAGGGGGAGAAGGAAGAGGAGGAATGACGCTCCATGCTGTTGCATGAAGTCCGCGCAACGTCGAAGAGGGGGATAAGGAGAAGGAGGAGGAGAAGGAGGAGGGGGACGGAAGGAGGATGAGGAGGATCTATGCCTCCTCGCGCTTCCTTCCCCACCTCCCCTCACCGGGTCTCGGACACGAGCACCTCCATGGAGCCCTTCGCCAGCCTCCAGAGCGCAGGCGACCAGGCCTTCAGAGCGCGCGATCCACGACGGCACCGCGAGCGAAGCACGGCAGACTTGGGATTGAAGGCTCCAGCGACGACGACGACGATGGCGAGGACGACGAGGACGATGAGGACGAGGACAACGACGAGGATGACAATGACGACGAAGAGGACGAGGACGAGACGAGTTCGACAATGACGCGACGAAGAGGACGACGACGACGACGACGACGAGGGCGGTGGCGGCGACGACGACGTGGACGACGAGGACGACGACGGCGGCGGCGGCGACGATGACGACGATGGCGGCAGCGACGACAATGACGGCGACGACGGCGAGAACGACGACGGCGGCGGCGGCGATGACGAAGATGACAACTAGAGGATCAATAAATGGCACAGTCGTGAACTTTTGGAGGTCCGTGCAGATTTCGTGGACCGGCGCTGGACACCCTGGGAGAAATCCGCGCAAACCTCCGAAATGGATGTTCTGTCGTTTGGCGAAAGATAACAGGGAACTATTGGAAGGTCTTCGTCGGAAGGCCCCGTTTGGGGGCCATCACGACGGATTCGGCCGCGGATTAAACGGGCTAAAGCCGGATCAAGCGTGACTCAACGGATTGCGCGGGCAAGACTTGTGCCTACATCCACTGCAGCTTGGAGTTTTGGCCTCCCTTCCCCAGAAACCTGAGGCGCTCTGGATATGGGCGAACATCGGGCCCCCAGAGGCTATGTTGATTCATATCCAGTGCGCCTCTGCCTTGCGGCGCCACTTCCAAGAAAGCCCAAGACGCACTAGATGTGGACATAAGCATCGCCTGCAGATGACTTGAACCGATCGGATACAGATATACCGGACCAGGGCAAAGTCAGAACTTGACCTCCCAAGAGTGGCACCCGAACGAAGGCTAGGCTCACGTCGGGCATGTCCCCCTACAGGCGGGTTTTGGAAGCAACATAAGACATAGTCAAAACTACTCAACAACAACAAAAATAGAAAAATCGTCCCCAAACATTTTTTGACTACTCTTGAATATTCCTCCTGTAGAGGGATGCGCCCGGCTCAAGGCTCGGCTTTACGACCCGCGCCTCGGAGGGACCCCCGCGGGCCGCGCCGCGACGGCCGCCCGGAGCACCCGGACATCTGCACCCCTTCGGGCCGCACGAAGAGTACTGGGCCCGTTCTCCATCACCACACTACCATCTGGAGGAGGGGGAGAGGGAGGAGAGGGAGGAGGAGGAGGAGGAGGAGGAGGAGGAGGAGGAGGAGGAGGAGGAGGAGGAGGAGGAGGAGGAGGGAGGAGGGGGAGGAGGGGGAGGAGGAGCTCTTCATCCTCCCTTCTCCCCCGTCCTACATATGGTAGCGGTGGTGGACACTTGGCCCATCAAAAACGGGGGGTTAGGAGGCAACTACAGGGTGGCGCGGCCTCGCGCCCACCCCCCCGCACTTCGCGACACCCCCCGCCCCGGCAACACCCGCTCAGGCTGCCTGAATGGAGCAGGGACCGACCGTCCGGGCATTCCTGTAGGCCTACCACAGCATGTTCTTAGAACCCAAAAATGTTGCTCCTGTTCCCAGAGCATGGAACCCGATGTATTGAAGCAAGACAGCGTCGGCTAGAAATGTTCCACGACAGGTTCTCAGAACTTGCCTGGTCGGCCTTTAAGCGAGTCGAGACGCTCCGCCACTGCCTGACTGCAGGCTTCGAGGCAGACCCCGGTCGCGAACACGAAGGCGGGTCACAGAGGCCCCCGGAGGCAGCACATAGACGGGGAAGTCAGGAGGCAACTGCTGGGAGGTCTTCGTCGGAAGGGCTACTTTAAGGAGGATCGAGCCCCAGTGTCGGGGGTGGCCAAAATAGGGGCGTCCAAGAGGGGGGGATGCAAGCTATGGCCGGCGGCATGTGCGCGGCCCAAGGGGGGGCCAGAGACGCAATGAAATAAGAAGAAGCGCCATGAAACCAAGGGAAATATCATGGCCCACGCCATGAGATATCCCCCCCCTAGACATCACCCCCCTCTTTGCCGCCTCTGACAGTGGGGGGCTGCTGCGCCAGATCAGGCTGCGGATCAGCCGGGATGGAGCCGGATGCAGCGGGATGAGGCCGGAGAATATCAGTTTTCGGACCAGGGGGGTAGTAAGGGGGGGGGGCGAATGGGTGCACGCAGCTGACTTCTCGGCGCGTGCGCGGTCTGGTCGCAGATATACGGGTCCTCCCCCATCGTTGCGCACGCACGCCTCGCATAGCCAATCAACTGCCCGATGCGCACTGTCGGGCGCGAAGGCAACGACCAGGGCCCGCGGGCGCAGCTGTGACGCCAGGCCAGCTAAAAGGGTGACAGGAAGCTGAACTCACTCACGCGGGGCACTGTCCCCGCTCCTCCGACGTCCCCTCCTCCTCCTGCTCCTCCTCCTCCTCCTTCACCTCACCCTCCTTCTCGTCCTCATGCGGTTTCCTCTTCTCCCTCATGCCCTGTTCCTCATCCGGCTCATCGCTTCCCCCCATCGTGTTTCTTCATTATGGATGCTCCCCCTTCTGCTCATCCTGTGGTTCCGTTGCGCCGCCTTGGGGCCGCATTTGGAGCTTGCATTTTATTTTTGCAATATCGGGGCCCTCCTTAACGCTTCCCATGCCCGCCTTGAGCCGAAAAACGTGGGAAGCTACGCCACCTGGCATTGGAAGGGACAAAGAAAACACCAATATGGCATGTTTATGTTTGCGGCGCACGTCCAGCACAAACGTATAATATACAAGTGCAGAAATATGATACTATGTAGGCGCTCGCCGTTGCGGATAAAGTACGGAGGCGGCGGGGACGCCGACAGCCTGCCAGGCTGTGAACAAGCCTGCAGGAGGCGCTTAACTTTCACAAATTGAACAACCCGTAGTGTTTGTGAACATACAACGAAGCCGCAACAGGCGTCGCTTTTTCCTAAAAAAAATGAGGCTGGGCCGCGGGTGGGTTGAGGGTGGGTCGCAAGTGGGTCGCGGGTGGGTCGCGGGTGGGAAAGCAAACAACAAACAAATCAACAACAACAATCACAAGGCAGCTCGCCGCTTAGGCCCCACCGCCAGCCCGAACGGCGAGCATAAATCGGGCGTAGCCCCTCACGCATTCGAATGCCCACACGTCGTCCTCGTACTTCAGTTTTCCTCCCGTCCTCCTCCCCGTCTTGATCGTCGTCGTCCTCCTCCTCCTCATCCTCCTCCCCCTCATCCTCCTCTGCTTCCTCGTTTTCCTCCTGCTCCAGCTCCTCCTCGTCCTCGTCTGAGACCTCGTCCTCGATTCTCCCACCCTCGACGGCCGAGAATGAAGCCGTCTCCTATCGGTTGAGCCCTCGGCGAACGAACATAAAACCATTTCCTATCGAATGCGCCATCGGTTGCACCCTCGGCGGCTGAGAATCAAACCGATTCCTATAGGTTGCGCCATAAACTACGCCCTCGGCGGCCGAGAATAAACCCGTCTCCTATCGGTTGCGTGATAGGCTGCGCCCTCGGTGGACGAACATGAAACCGTCTCCGATCGGTCGCGCCATGGGTTGCGCCCTCGGCGGCCGAGAATGAAACTGTCTTCTACCGATTGCACAATAAACTGCGCCCTCGGCGGCCGCACATCAAACCGTCTCCTATCGGATGCGCCATAATCTGCCATCGGCGGTCGAAAATAAAACCGTCTCCTATCGGGTTCGCCACAGGTTGCGCCCTCGGCGTCTGAGAATAAACCACTATCCTATCGGTTGCGCCATAGGTTGCGCCCTCGGCGGACGAACATACAACTGTCTCCTATCGATTGCGCCAAAACATGCGCCCTCAGCGGCCGAGAATACAACCGTCTCACATCGGTTGCGCCATGGGTTTCGCCCTTCGCGGGCGAGAATAAAGCCGACTCCTATCGGTTGCGCCATAGATTGAGCCCTCGGTGGACGGACATGAAGCCGTCTCAGATCGGTTGCGCAATAGGTTGCGCCCTCGGCGGCCGAGAATAAAACCGTCTCCCACACATTGCGCAATCAGTTGCGCCCTCAACGGCCGAACATCAAACCGTCTCCTATCGGTTGCGCCACAAGTTGCGCCCTCGGCGGCCGAGAATCATGAACGCATGAAAAAGCCACCCTTGCCCCCCACGTGAGGAACTTCAGACCAAGTGTACGGCAATGGCCTCGCTTGTAGGGCGGCTACACTTACGCACCTTCGCCACAACTGCAAAACATTTGAATATAACATCAACAATTGTGGGGGCTGGGGGGCTGGAATCGGCGTCCCACTGTTCAAAATAAGCCGTCTCCCATTGGTTATGCCATAGGTTGCGCCCCTCGCGGGCGAGAATAAAGCCATCTCTTATCGGTTGCGCCATGCAGCAACACTAACACCACCACCAGCAACAACAACATTAACATCACCACCAACATCAATAACAACAAATGCAACAGCACCAACACCGACAACAGCAACACCACCAACATGCAAAGCAGCAACAACAACAGCAGCACCAACATCAACGACAACAAAACTATAACCAGTAGCGCAACGAACATCAACAACAACAATAACACCACCAACACCACCACCGCCACCACCGCCAACAACAACAACAACAACAACAACAACTACTACACCACCCACCATTGTAATACATTGTAAGACTGGTTGCTCTTACTTGACCGCGTGACATCAAACACGGAAATCCCAAACCTTCGATACCCGCCCTCTCTGACTTCGATCGCACCCTCATTAAGGGTGTATCTCCCTTGCCTGAAACGTGTATTTCACGCGGCCCCTAGGCAGGGGAGGGAAGAACTGATGGAAGAAAGACAAGGGGAGGAGGAGGCTGAAACACGGGAAGGAATCGCAGGAACGGGGCTAGGAGCAGAAATCACGTGGTAGAACCAGACGGGCATATCTGGCGGGTGGACCCTAATGGGCGGGGGGCCCAGGCGGCCAAGTCGAGCAGGTGGGTTGCTGAAGCGTGCGTTCTGCGTAATCGCGGCGAAGTCTTCAACGGTAGCGCGATCCCCAAGAAAATCGTGAGAACAGCAAACAACGCGAGCTTGATTCCTGAATTTCGAAACGCGGCGTCTGAATAAATCAAAACAAAAATCGCACTCGACACCGCGAATCTTGCATACATGATGAGGAAGTCCCGCGCCGGAGCGCGAGTTGGGAATACATTGTTGCAAACCGAGGGACCATGGGCATAGTTTGGTGACCCCTCACTCTCCTTCGAAATCGAACAAGGTGCGAACCCTGGGAAAAACAAGACGGACTGATGATCGGAGGTGGTGATCAACCATACGTCTTCTTCTTATACGCGAACTCACCAATCCGCACCGAAGGATCTCTCTTCAGCCAAGCGCCCAAGAAGAGTGACTGACCGCTCGGCCCCCCGCTCTGACAAGAAATGGGCATAAGTGGTCCGCATGGGCGGGCTCAGCAAACCGATATCTTCAACACCAGACCGACCCGCAACAAATTAATCATCGTTGCTCCCCTCGACCTCAAGGAGTCCTCTATTATATTCATTCGACGGTCATTGTCGACTCCTTTCGACCGCAGGTTCTGGGGTCCTCTTTCCGTCCTCCTCCTCCTCCTCCTCAATGTCTTTCTCTTTCCTCCAAACCGCCCCTCTTTCCTCATCGTTTTCCCTTTCTCGTCGCCGCCCCTGTCCTATGCGACTCCTCTTGGCCGCCGTAAGGGGGTGGTCCACCCCAAAGTATCGTCCCAGCTCTGCACGGAACGTTATCTTAGAGCGAAAGAACGGGCAAAACAATTGATTTCGTTCCGCGACTTAGCGATAGAAGCGCCTAGTAGTAGTAGAAGTAATAGTGGTAGTCATGGTGGAAGTAGTAGTAGCAGTAGTAGCAATACAAGTAGTACTAGTAGTAGTAGTAGTAGTAGTAGTAGTAGTAGTAGTAGTAGTAGTCGTCGTCGTCGTCGTCGTCGTCGTCGTCGTCGTCGTCAGCGTAGTCGTAGTAGTAGTACTAGTACGAGTAGTGGGAAACGTAGTAGTAGTAGTAGTAGTAGTAGTAGTAGTAGTAGTAGTAGTAGCAGTAGTAGTAGTAACAGTAGTCGTAGTAGTAGTAGTAGTAGTAGTAGTAGTCGTCGTAGTCGTAGTCGTAGTAGTAGTCATACTAGTCGGAGTAGTCGTAGTAGCAGTAGCAGTAGTAGTAGTCGTCGTAGTCGTAGTCGTAGTAGTAGTGATACTAGTCGTAGTAGTCGTAGTAGCAGTAACAGTAGTAGTAGAAGTAGTAGTAGTAGTAGTAGTACTAGTAATAGTAGTAGTAGTAGAATTAATAGTAATAATAATAGTCGTCGTTGCAGCAGCAGTAGTAGTCGTAGTAATGTGTTAGTAGATGTCGTCGTCGTCGTAGTCGTAGCAGTATTCGTAGTAGTAGCAATGACAGACGAGTAATAGAAGTGATACTTGCATTCGTCGCAGTCGTAATAAAAGTAGTAGTCGTAATCGTAATGATGATCGTACACGTAGTACTTGAAGGAGTCGTAGTTTGAGTAGATGTGATAGTAGTAATCACAGGAGTAGTACTAGTACTGGTACTAGAAGTAGTAGCGGTGGTAGTAGCAGGAGTAGTAGAACTAGTACGGGTAGTAATAGTAGCAGAAGTAGTGGTAGCAGTAGCCATGACAAAAGTGATGGCCGTAGTAGTGGTAGCAGTAGCAATAGTAGTGGTAGCAATAGTAGTAGTAGAAGTAGTAGTACTAGTAGTAGTAGTGGTAGTAGTAGTAGTAGTAGTAGTAGTAGTAGTAGTAGTGGTGGTAGTAGTAGTAGTAGCAGCGGAAGAAAAAGTACTAGCAGTCGTAGTCGTAGTAGTGGTGGTGGCAGTGTCGTACACATACTAAACATAGTGGTAGTAGTAGAAAGAATCAGTATTTAAATAGTCGTAGTCGCAGGCGTAGTGGTAGTAGTAGTAGTGGTCGTAGTAGTCGTAGTAGTGGTGGTACTAGTAGTGGTGGCCGCAACGTAAACATACGTTTCCGGCAGTCGTATTATTAATGGTGGCTGTCGCCATCGTAAATACGAATGCAAGCCGTATAAGGAATTGTAGTAGTGGCAGTCCTAGTAGAACGTGGTCGTAGTAGGAAAAAGAAAATAATATTAATAGTCGAGAAACAGGTAATGGGGAGGATCAAAAATCATGGTAGTAGTCGCCGTAATACGAAGAAGCGGTGGTGGTAGTGGCAGCCATAGTGGTAACCATGGCATCCATAGTAGTAATAGAAGCAATAGTAGCAGTAGTAGTAGTAGTCGTAGTCGTAGTAGTAGTAGTAGTAGTAGTAGTAGTAGTAGTAGTAGTAGTAGTAGTAGTAATAGTACTAGTACTAGTAGTAGTAGTAGTAGTAGTAGTAGTAGCACTAGTAGTTATGATCGAAGTAGCAACAGTGGTAGTAGTTGTAGTGGTGGTAGTGGTAGTGGTAGTAATAGTAGAAATAGTAGTAGTAGTAGTAGTAGTAGTAGTAGTAGTAGTAGTAGTAGTAGTGGTCGTAGTCGCGGTCGCACGCGTAGTGGTAGTAGTAACAGTCGTAGCAGCAGTAGTAGATGTAGTGATAGTAGTAGTAGTAGTAGTAGTGGTAGCCGTGCCATTGCTGGTAAAAGTCGTACTAATGGTGGTCGTAATAGTAGTAGTAGTAGTAGTAGTAGTAGTAGTAGTAGTAGTAGTAGTAGTAGTAGTAGTGGTAGTCGTAGTAGTAGTAGTAGTCGTAGGTAGTAGTGGTGGTAGTAGTAGTAGTAGTAGTGGTAGTAGTAGTAGTAATAGTAGTAGTAGTAGCGGTAATCGAAGTACGAGTGGTCGTTTTCGTGGTCGTGGTAGGAGTCGCCTTCGCCCAATGAATCGTAATGCTTGTGGTAATAATAATCATAGCAGTCGTGGTGGCGGTGATGTATGTATCGATGCAAATACAGGTGTTGTGGTAGCACCCGTAGTCTATGTTGCAATGGTGGTCGTTGTAGAAGTAGCAGTAGTGGTAGTAAAAAAGTAGCAATCGTCGTAAACGGAGCCGTGGTACTATTAATGCTCGTAATAGTTTGAAAAATAATAGTAGTGAAAAGATAGTGGCAAAACTAATAACAGTAATAATAATTGGAGTGGTACTCGTTATAGAAATATTACTCGTAGTCATCGCCGTAGTAGTAGCACTGGTAGTAGTCGTAATAGCCGTAGTAGTAGTAGTAGTGGTAGCGGTCGTCGTGGTAGATATACAAATAAAGGAAAAAGTTGTAGTACTCATGGTAATAGTCGTGGTACTAGTAAAAATGGTCCTAATCGTCGTAATGGTCGTAGTTGTCGTCGTCGCGGCCGCAATCGTAGCCGAAGAAGGGCGAATAGTAATAGCAATGATCGCGGTAGTGGTAGTAATCGTCGTAGTAGTCGTACTAATAATACTGGTAGCAGCAGTAGTAGTAGTAGCAGTAGTAGTGGTAGTGGTAGTGGTAGTAGTAGTAGTAGTAGTAGTAGTAGTAGTAGTAGTAGTAGTAGTAGTAGTAGTAGTACTCGTAGTGGAAGTACTGGCCGTAGTAGTAGTAATTGAAATGGGTAGTAGTGATAGTACCCGTCGTCGTCGCAGTAGCAATGCTAGACATTTTCATAGTAGCAGTCGTCATAGTAAGAGTAGTAGTGGTGGTCGTAGTAGTAGTAGTAGTAGTAGTAGTAGTAGTAGTAGGAGTAGTGAAGGTAGTACTACTACTACTGCTACTACAACTACTACAACAACTACTACTACTACTAGTCGTGGTCACTCGACATCGCTCGGACGTCCATTCAACGTGCATTTCTCGATTTCGTGCGTGAATTCTTCGCTAGATGATTGAGAATGCTCCTCGATGGTCGTCGCCATGAAAAAAATACACACGTCCGAGCGATGCCAAGGTGATGAAAGCTGATAGTAGGAGTAGTAGGGGTAGTAGTAGTAGTAGTAGTAGTAGTAGTAGTAGTAGTAGTAGTAGTAGTAGTAACGTAGTAGTAGTAGTAGTAGTAGTAGTAGTAGTAGTAACGTAGTAGTAGTAGTAGTAGTAGTAGTAGTAGTAGTAGTAGTAGTAATAGTAGTAGTAGTAGTAGTAGTCGTAGTCGTAGTCGTAGTCGTAGTCGTAGGCGTAGGCGTAGGCGTAGTCGTAGTCGTAGTAGTAGTAGTAGTAGTAGTAGTAGTAGTAGTAGTAGTAGTCGTAAGAGCAGTAGTAGTAGTAGTAGTAGTAGTAGTAGTAGTAGTAGTAGTGGTAGTAGTAGTAGAAGAAGTAGTAGTAGTAGTAGTAGTAGTAGTAGTAAGAGTAGTAGTATTCGTAGTCATAAGAATCGTCGTCGTTGTAGTAGTAATACGAGTAGCAGAAAAAGTAGTAGCCATAGTAGTCATAGTAGTAATAGTAGTCGTCGTCGTCATCGTCGTCGCCGTGGTCTTCGCAGCATTAAAGCAGGTGGGCCCAGCGTAGTGCGGTGCTGCGCAGATCAGAGCGAGACCTCGCCATCCCTGGCGGGCTTCGAAATGCGAAACTGTCGCCACTCTTGAAGGTTTGCCGGGGGCTCCAGAGGAGTGCTAAGCAACGGCCAAGCGCCAGGGTGCCAGGGGGTAGCGCTTCAGGGTGCTGAGTACGTTGTCGTTACGCCGAAGGGGTTATTGAACATCTCTACTACAGGTCCACGCTCTTCGGCACTTTCCCCCGCTGTGAACTCTCATGAGATGCCTTCATCGAGGTCTCTGTGAGGTCCTCCCAGGCCTCCCGTGGCTGCGCGGGCGCCCACGCCGGCGCGCTCGCCGTCTGCATCCTGGCAATCTCAACCACGGCCGCGGCGAGTTCGGCAATGGTATCCTTGCCTGTCGTAGGAAACCTTGGCAATGGAGCTGCGAGATCGACAAAGGCGGCGCTTGGAGGCGTTCCGACGTGGAAATGGCGAGCACCGCATGGCTGGGGATGACCATCCGCTTCGTTATGGTGCTCGACTTCGTGCTGCTATTCCCCCCGCTCCTCTACGACCTCGAAGCGCTGCTGCTCGAAGTCCCGACGAGCATGTGGTGGTCGAGCCGTTCGCCCAAGCGCTGATTCTGAAGCTCCTCGTCGCGTGCTCCGGCTCGGCGGAGCTCGGCGTCCGCTCTCGCGGCTCGGGCGCGCCGCGACGCCTCCTGGACCTGGCGGCTGCCAGCGACCAGCTCGCCTTCTGCAGCGTCGGCGCGACCCTGCGCGGCCTCGGCAGCGCCTGCGGCTCCGGCGTTGGCCACCCGGAGCGCTCGGGCACCCGCGGGCTGGCGCCGCCCTGGCGCCTCGCCCGCTCGCGAGGCCGGCGGCGACCGCCCCGACGGCAGCGCCAACGGGAGCGGTCGCGGCTCTTTGGGTTGCCTGCCCTCCTGCCCCCGAGCTGGCGGCGCGCACGCTGGGGTAGGGGGGGCGGGGGGTGACTTCTTGGGGCGAGGCTGCTTCGTGGAAGGCGCCGGCCTCGCAGCTAGAGGCAAGGCCCGCGCCTTCTGCCGAGGAGGGGTGATTCTAGGAAGCCTTCCCCCCTCCCCCCACCTCTATGCCTCCGAGATGTGGTCGGAGTAGATGGGGTCGGAGGATCGCGCCGCATCGCCGATGCATCGCCGATGCGGGGCCCGATTTGCTTCACGTCGACTTCGCCGATGTATCGCCGGCGTCGACGATGCACCGCCGGTGCATCACAGATGCGATGTATCGGCGATGCGGCGCGATGCTCCGACCCCATCTACTCTGGCCTCTTTTGGGATGCCTCTGATGGGCTGGTGTTCCGCCACTACCACCGCAGGTAGGAGAGGGAGGAGGAGAGGGCGGAGAAGGAGGAGGACGAGAAGGAAGACCTTCCCATCCTCCCTTCTGCCCCGTCCCTCCCTGTGGTAGTGGTGGTAGGAACATTGGCCCACCAGCCTTTACTACCCCCCTTTCTGCGCGTGGCCGACTCCTGCCCCCGAGGCCTCGGCCGACGAGGCTGCAGGCGACGCCCCCGCGGTGCTGCACTATGCGCCTACCGGGCCTGGCAATGTTCGGCTGCTCCGCACCGAGGCCTGCCTGCGCGGCGCCGCAGAGACCGACCGTCCCAGCATTCCCATTAGGCCTGCCAGGAAATCTTCCCAGAACCCCAGGATGTTTCCAAGAACCCCCCAAAATGAAGGGGCCCAGGGACACACAAATGAATAAACACAAATAACAGGATTCCCCATATTTTCCCATATGTTCTGAGTGTTCGTCTCCCCCCTCACTTCTCATTTTTTCCAAATGTTTTCCTGGAGGTCGACGATTCATTGTGTCTGTGTGTTTCTTCCCCTCCTGAAGAACGTATGCTCTCAGAACATGAGCCCGATGTGTGCAAGCAGAACACCCTCGGCCAGAAGTGCGCTCTGAGGGCCCTTCATGCCTTCTCTGCTGGGCCCTGTGTGGGCCCCGGAAACGGCAGGGCCGCTTTTCCACCGTTTCCCAGGAAATGTCCCTTAAAAATGGAAAGGGAAAAAAAACGGCGACCGGAAATCAAAACGGCTCCAGGATTGGAACCGGAGCCGGAGCCGGTCAAAAACCGGCGACGGAACCGGTGAAAAAACGGCGTCGGAACCGGCAACAGAAACGACAAACTCTGGGCGAGCCAGGACGCTTCGCCGCTGCGTGGCCTGCACGGCGCCGACCGCTCGGCCGCGGCGCGATTCACCCCGCCGCCCCCGCGGCCTGCCGCAGCTCGCCGCGGTGCTCCGGCAACGCGCCTGCCCGGGTCCGGCCTCCCCGGCCCAAAGAAAGGAGCCCTGGGACACACGAATAAATGCACAAATGGAACGATCCCCCAATATTTTTCCATATTTTTGGGATTGTCGTCTTCCCCCCCACTTCCTATATTTTCCCATACGTTCTGGGGAATCGACGGTTAATTGTGCCCCGAAGCCGTGCCCCGAAGCCCCCGCGGCCACTCTCCTGTCTCTTGGCGGCGAGCGAGATGGGGGAAACGAGAAGGAGAAGGCCTCCTCAGAAGGCGGCGGGACCCTTCAGAAGCCCTCAGCCGTTGTGGCTCAGCACAGCTGGGGGGGGACCCGGCTGGGCCGAGCCATGGCTGCTGCCTCGGGCGGCTCTCCTGGCGGCGCTGGCGTGGCTGGTGCTGGCTCTGGAGGGGCATGTCTGACAGCAGCGATGTGGGCCTCCACGAGGTTCGGCGGGACTTTGACAAAAGACACATCACGAGTGGAATGCACACGTGAGGCGACACACAGGTCACGGCAGCAGAAGGGCAGCACGACCACACAGCAGGGCACCGACGACAACCACAACAAGAAGCTCGTGCACGACGGCGACCTCGTCGCCCTCGGCTACCACGAGCTCCTCGGGGACCAGCGGCACTTCGGCGACCAGCTGCACTCCGAGGACCAGACCTCCTACGTGGACCAGCTGCTCCTTGGGGGCCAGCTGCGCTACTCGGACCAGCAGTCCCACCAGGACGAGCTGATCTGCCTGGGCAAGCATTTCTTCTTCGTCGACCAGATCGGCGGGGCCTTCGGCGTATCCCCACGAGTACTTATACGAGGCCTTCGTGCCGCACTTCAACCAGAGCGAGCTGACCATCCACCAGGTGATCGCATTCACCGTTGGCAATTGACAGGGGAGAGGGAGCAGTCGGATACGCATGACGTGCTCGGGGTACAGCACACGGGCATGCAGGCGACTGTGAATGCATGGGGTCATTCCCAACGAGTGCAGGCACGTATGCTACGGGGTTGCACATCTCACATTGCGGGAGACGGCCCCCCCAAGTTCCGCAGGAACAAGGCCAAGGCGAACGAGCCCAAGGGCGACATGTCTGGGCTCCTCGAGCAGCTGGTGAACATGATCATCAAGCTCCTTTCGGACGGCGGCAAGTCCAACTTGCTGGGCATGTTGGCCAAGTTGCTCAACCACACGGGCAGGGGCACCAAGCCGAATTCCACCAGGACCAAGGCGAAGGCCAAGGGCAAAGCCAAGGCTGCGCCCAAGGCCAAGGCGAAGGCGAAGGCGGCGACATCACCAAAGGAAGGCCCGCCCCCCAAGGCGGCCTCCCAGGCGAAGCAGCCAGACACCACTCAGAGTCCGACATCCACGACACCCGACACCACTCCTTGGATTGAACTGTGGGCTGCTCGACCAGAAGACTTTGACGGGCCCATCTTCACGGTGGAGGGCCTTTGGGCTATGGCCACCAGCTTCAACAGCGACGGGGGCAAGCTCCTCCAGGCGGTGGTCCAGGTCCACGACGATGACGACCTCGAGGGCCTCCAAGTGCTCCTCGATATGTATGACTTCGTTCGGGTACTTCGAGTGCGACCGCTCAGGCGACGAGAAGACCTACGAGCAGAGGAGGAGCGCCGAGACCTTCCTGGGAGGCTGCGTGGCAAGCAGCAGACCAAGGTCAAGCAGGTGGGCATCTGGCGCAGCAGCCCCGACGCCCCACATGTCAGAGCAAAGGTTAAGATCACCACAGTCAAGGCCACCACACCCGACACTGTCGTCGTGCGAGTGTCCACTGAGAAAAGTACACCGACTCGTGGGACAACATCCTCAAGAAGCCTGGCGACTCGGCCAGGGCCTGGTCTCGCGAGGTTGGCTCCGAGGGCATCCAGGAGAATCTCAGAGACACGTTCAAGTTCTACGTCCAGGACGACATCATCATGGGCCTCTGGCGCATGGAGGTCCCTGCACTCACCGAGCTGCTCACACATTCAGGGCACCGAGGGCCCTCGGGGCTTCGCTTTTTTTCGTAGAACCAGCTAGGTGGCAGACACCTTGCCCACCGCCATGCGGTTGCGACTACTCCAACAAGAAGGTGGACACCGAGTCCTGGCCCCAGTTCGCCGACAGGCTGCACCAGCAATGTGGACCTCTCGGAGTTGCTCGGGGTGATCGCAGCCTTGGGCTTCGCCAGCCGCGACTCGCCACCGACGACAGGGCTCGCACTTGGAAGCTGGAGCAGGTTCCAGCTGGCCGCAGCTACACCGACGTCCACAACATTGTCAGAGAGAACGGCCTCAAGGACGTAGAGTTCATTGCCAACGGGCATCACCCCAAGGTCCCTGGCTCATGCCTCGCCAGGCGCGCCTGGGTGGTCCGCGCCACTGCCCCAGGGGACCTCGCCTTCTTTGAGGTCGCCCAGGAAGTCGATGGCGAGTAAGTCAGCATGTTCGGCTTCATCGACAACCCGAAGAAGCCCACTCCAGAGAGGAAGCTCCTCCCAGGCGAGAGGAGGGTGGCCTACACCCCCAAGTCCACTAGCAACGCCACTCGCGCTGCTGCCCCTGGGGCTCCCCCGAGGGAGGAGGAGGAGGAGGGCGAGGTTGCCGAGGAGGAGGAGAAGGAGGAGAACAAGGACGAGGACCAGAAGATGGAGGGCAACGAGAAGGAGAAGGACAAGGGCAAGTCAGGGGCAAGGCCTGCGGGAGCAGGCACACTCAAGGCCATGCGTCCTGTCTTGGCTCCACGACCGACCTGGATCCAGACTAAAGAGAATGCAGGAGCAGGCAACTGCCCCCCACTTGCACTGGCACAGGGACTCAATGAACGACAATCCACACCCACAGACCACGAGACCGTCAGGTACAACATCGCCAAAACGATGCAGAGACGAGGACAACAGCTCTGGTCGCCCTTCTGGGACGGCAAGGCACCAGAACGAGAAGAGCGACCACTACCAGGGGGCGTCCCGGCCTACTGCAAGGCCATGTCCAAGCTCGGGGCCTGGCTCGGCAACCTCGAGCTGGCGGTGTTCGTGGCGCACTACAAGATCCCACTCATGGTGTACCAGCGACAGAGCCCACCTCAGATTCGGCAGGTCTCGAAGAAGGGCATAGCGCCCATCAGGCTTTGGTTCGAGGCTGGCCACTACGAGCTCATCACGACCACGCCACCAGACGACGACACCTCCACCGCCCAAGTCGGTGGACACAAGGGTATGCGAGGTGGCGCCTCGGCAACTTCGTCGAAGGCATCCACGCCCACCATCTGTCGCATATGGCGCAAACAGGCACTAGCAGAGCAGGACAAGGCCACCACCATCGGTGACGTGGCCAACATGGACAACCTCGACGGCT